ACGAAGCAACGTACACACATTGGAAACGATGATCATCGGAGAATTCGTGAGGCACCCAAACACCTTCTTTATGGAGTTTTCCCATATTTATTAGATGTTCACGTGTTGTTTCATGAAGGACATGCAATTTCACAGCCATTTCACGAGTGCATTGCCTTGGGTTAGACTCAACAAGCGTCTTCAGAGCATCAATATCCATTCCAACATGTCGGCCCCTGCCATCACTGTTTTTAAGGCTAAAGTCACCTGAACGAAATTTGCAGAACCATCGTTGACACTAACGAACGTTCAAAACATTTCCATAAACTTCTTTGATATTATTCGTGGCTACAGAGGCGTTGTTTCCCTTCTTATAAGGAATTAGAGTATACTAAACTTTACATATTATATAGGCTACACTAACGTGATGTTTAGGTGTGTTACGACAGCGGAAGTCACGTGACTCTAGTAACACGTCATGATATTCTCGAAGGTTCGTGAATGCTCGAGTGTTTACTGGATGTGCGGTATTTTTGTATATAAGACCGCCAAGAAGTGACGGCAACAATGGAATTGAATTGCAGACAGAAATAGAGACAGACAAATGAGTCAAGCGCGTGAATTGTCGTTGTGAATTATAGCATTTGTTTAAGTTAACTGACTGTGGGAATTAAGTGTATTGCATAGTTGTGTTGAGAAAGAATAAACTAGTTTTATTTAAGGAAGGACTTCTATTGCTGAAGTTTTTCGGAAATAATTTCTACGGAAAATTAACAAACGAACACAGAGACGTAACAGGTGGTTCGTTTAACTGTTATAGTGATGTACGTTTTTCGGGGGATGGATAATGAAAGTGTTCCAAAACGCGACAATAATTTCTTGATGACCTAAAATTATGAATGGCAAGATACCAAACTTAATTACGAGTAATAATTATCACATAAACACCAGATAATTATCAATTAGTTGAAACATAGCTTTAATCTTATTGTTTAATATGAAACATCTTTAAATCCTTTGTAGCATGTGTTATTCATTTTCACAGAGAGTTTGCTTTATTTTGGTTTTAAAGCAAAGCTACACAATAGACTAACTATGCTCTATCCACTATGGAGAATCAAACCCTGGATTTTAGTGTTATAAGTCCATAAACTTAACGTTGATCCATTGGGAAATTTTTTAAAAAGATAAGAAATAAACGAGCAAAGAAAAATTCCAAATAAGACACATAGACAGAAACAAGCAGTAAACAAAGTGAACTTCGTATTTCCATAGCTTTCATTCACAGTTTTCATTTATCTGTTTGTTCAACATATATTTAAATAATGTTTATGGTTAACTGCACCCACTGCCAACTCTTGGGCTACTCTTGTATGACCCAATAATGAGATTTGACCGTTACCCTTGTTAATCATCAAAGGCTGTAAATGCCAGAGAACGATTTTTTTTATTAGATAATTGGATGTAGCAGAATGATCCGAAGATCCATAGCTTGACATGCTAACCATTGGGCCAGACTCGGCTCTCTTTGAGTTGACATTAAAGATAATACAGAAATTGTCAGAATTAAAACAATAGAGTCCCTTTGACTAGTTATTTTTATTGCTACGTATTTTATTCTTATATCCTGAGCCTATAGATCAATAACAGTGTTTTTTCAGAGACAAATTCAATGGAGAAGAAATACTAGTTATATAATTTAAAGCCAGAGAACTATGCACCAAACTTGGAATGAATATGATGTTTATGCCATTATTATTTGTATGTATGTTCTCTATAAATGCGAAATAAATGAAGTAAAGTTTAAGAGTCCCTCAGTAATTTTTTTACAAAAATGAAATATATACTAAGAGATATGTTTGATGAAAAGGTTGTTGTTTTTCCGTGTGCAAAACTACACAATGAGCTTTCTGCACTTTGTACACCTCAAGAAAGGGAACCCGAGATTTTTGTTTCCAAGTCCACAAACTTACCGCTGACTCAGCGGTGGACTAATATAAAATGTGATGTTAAATTCAAGTTAGTCCTAGAAATCCCTAAAACAAGGCTTAGGTTATAAATACGAGATAATTTGTGCTTTCATAGGATAGAGTTGTTTAGAGTTTTACTTCCAGAAGACAAAAAGGGGAATCAGTCATTAGTTTTATGGTTTTATGTTTGTGTTAGCTATTGCGCTGCTTTGTATAAGAGAGTGAATTTCGTGTACATCAGTCCTAGGGCTGTTCTTATAAAGGTTTAATGTTATTTGTAAACATAGGCCAACAACAAGTTACAAAGTTTAAAAGCCAGTAAAGAAGCGTTAAGTAAGATATAAATCAATTTCTCTTATTTCATGGACTGGATGTTACATTATTTTCACCAGATAATTTAAAAGAACCCATCAACAAAATATCAGTGTTACAACACTTGGTATCAGGAGTGAGATTACTTCATAAAAGTACAATAAAACTCTGACTAAACCAAGAGCAGATCAAGAAGAAATTTAAAAAATTTAAATAAAATCTAAAAAATAATCAATAAGTAGAAGACAAGAACTTAAAAATGGAGTTAAAGAAAGAGATGTACTATTTAAGGAAGAACTAAAATAAAAAATAAATCTGGTTGAAGGTAAGTTCAATGAAAGTGTCGGAGGTGCACAGCGAGGTTACAAGAATAAGACTAAAGAAGTATAGAAAGGCCTTAATAACATAATAAGTACAGTAAGGTTGTAAATGACAAAATTGACAAAGTCAAAAGTATATTAGTAAAAAAAGAGCATCGTTGAAGCAGAAAAGAACATTGGTGACAGAATAAAACATCTGGAAAATGTAATATTAAATGCAAAGATTAAACCAGCCACACTTCTTTCTGCATCAGCACAAGAGTTCCAGACGTTAGTCTTAGCATTGTTCTTAAAGAGGTTTAGCGTTATTTGTAAACATAAGCCAACAAGAAGATAAAAAATGAAAGCCAGTATAGGGATAAAAGAAGATTAATAAACTATGTACTCATTGAGAGTATTATCATTTAGTTTATATGTATGCAAATCATTAATATAAACAACTGGTAATTCCATCTTAAAGAATAAACTTCTGTTGAATATTTGAGTAAGGAAGCATATTATGCTAATATATTGATAATAGGTTGGCAACCATCGATTTGTAAGCATAAGGAAAGTTTTATTGATGGTAGAACATATTACATGTGTCGACAGAAGATTGGTCTGTTTTCTTCAAGTATGATCAGTCCAACAACAATAACAATCGTAGCAGGAATTTAAGTTGTTTTAAAACCAGGGGTGTTCAG